GACTATCGTCGTCGAAGAACCGCCACTTGGAAGATTGATACTTATCATGGCCACCGCATGGCTTGGTATCTTCCTAGGGGCATTAGATTCGACAGTCATTGCGACTCTCTCGGCTCCCATCGCTAGCGAATTCAACACGCTTAGCCTGCTCTCGTGGCTAGTCACAGCATATCTCATCTCGAATGCAGCTACTCAACCTATCGCCGGTCGACTGACGGACATATTCGGACGACGCCTGGGCCTTATTCTCAGCAACCTTTTGTTTGCTATAGGAAACTTGGTTTGTGGACTGTCTACAGATCATTATTCCATGATTATCGGGCGTATCATTGCAGGAGTTGGTGGAGGTGGACTGATTAGCATCGCTACATTCCTGACCTCCGATCTTACACCATTGCGCAAGCGAGGTATCATGCAAGGTATTGCAAACTTGTGGTACGGCGCCGGTGCTATGCTTGGAGCTGTCATCGGCGGATTGTTCCAAGACCGCACGGTTATCGGTTGGAGGCTCGCATTCCTGGTACAAGTACCGCCCTCGTTACTACTTATCCCTATGATAGGGGTACTAGTCAAGGTACCGCCCAAGCAGTCCGATAAGTCATATCTTACACGAATTGACTTCCTCGGAGTCTTCTTCACGTGTTCATTCTTGATACTGCTACTTCTCGGTCTAAACACGGGCGGTAACACGGTACCTTGGCTCCATCCTTTACCGCTTACCACTATCCCCCTTTCGATGCTTTGCTTTGCCGGCTTTATCTGGTGGGAAGGGAAGGCGAAGCAGCCTATTATACCCGTGGCACTTCTCCGAGATCGCACAGTCCTCTCTGCTTGCAGCGCCAGTCTCTTCATCTCCATGCTTCTCATGGCCACCACGTTCTACGTGCCCCTCTACCTTCAGGTACTCGGCGACTCTACCACAACCGCTGGCCTCAAGTTTCTGCCATCGCCATTGGGTGGGTCAATTGGTGCTCTTGGGACGGGATACTTGATGGCATGGACTGGAAAGTACAGACCGTTTGGAGTAATCGGTGCCGTGGTCTTGATTGTTGGTACTGTCTTGTTTACTCTTCAAGATGAGAACAGTCCGAAATACCTGACCTGTATCGCCTTGTTCTTTGTTGGTGGGGGTTTCAGCACGGTGTTGACCACGGCCACTGTTTCATGCCTCGCTGCAGTCGATCACTCGCAGCAAGCCCTTGTAACATCAGCTATTTGTAAGTACCGACCCATCATCATCCACCACCGGACGGACGACCTCCATGACACTAACATCCCTTGCAGTTCTGGCTAGGAGCGTAGGTGGTACGCTTGGCATAACCATGGCATCTGCAGCCTATCAGAGCACTCTAAAAGAGATGCTATGGGACATCTTTGGAGACAAAGCGGGCGGCCCTGAGGAGATCCAACGTATTCTGGACGGGCTGGAAGAGCTAAAGCATCTCCCGGAAGGTTGGTGGCATGGTGTCATGGCCACGTTCATGGAATCCTTCAGAATTGTATGGTTGATGATGGTTTGCTGGGCTGTACTGGCCCTTTTCAGCATCTCCTTCGTCAAGCGACACACGCTGCACTCGAGGATGGATAGGAAATGAAACACGGGGTTAAAGACTTCAATGCTATGCGCTAGTCTCCTGTTTGTGTTACATCATCACCTCTTCAGCTAACAATCGTATCGCTCCTCGGCCTTGATCCCTCCTCTCTTAGCTAGTTCGACGACCGGTATCGTGTCGTCCCGTTGAGAATAGCTTTGTTCAATCAACAGGTCTTGGATGGCCCTCCACTCATTAAAAGAATGGTTTTGATGACTTTAGATTCCTGTATCTTCCTGTACTCCCCAAAGAACAGCGTCTAATCGCTCCCATACCCGCCAGCCTCTAAATGCGGTTAACCAGAATCACCCAAGCGAAATAAAAGTACTTATGATTCCCAACAGCACAGTCATAGCCTCCCACTGCCCGAGGCCAGTGTCTTACGTCGAGTAATGTAGAGAGTTCAACGTGACTTGAGGATTTGGAAGAAAGAGCATAAATTATCTGACTCATATGTGTATCGATTGTGACTTCTGGCTAGCACTCAATTGGTATGAAGGTGGATTTAATATTTGCGTGTCAATCAAGGTAATCATGCCCATCAATACATGGTGTTGTTCAACGCCTCTCCCTTCGACCACCTATCTAATTCCGCGACCTGGTGCTCATAGAATTCGTTCATAACGCCCTCTTCCACATACGCAATATGTGGTGTCAGAAGCACCCTACTCTTGCCTTTAGTACCCCAACTCGAGTCTCGCCACTCACTATCCGCTGGCAAGGGTTCAATGTTGAACACGTCTAGTGCAGCTCCTCTAATACTCCCTGCCTTGAGAGTTGCAAGCAGCTCATCCTCATCCACCAATGGTCCACGGGAGGTGTTTATAAAAAATGAAGATTGTTTCATTCTTGATAAGTCCTCCGACGTGATCAAGCCCCGTGTGCGGTCTGATAACAGCAGATGCACAGTCACTATGTCAGAGGTAGAGAACAGCACTTCTCGACTCACAAACTTGAACATCTTATCGCCGTCTTGGGTGTCGACTGGCAAACCTTGGGCTTTAGCTTGCTCGTCAGCAATACCCTGTGTAAGATTGGAGCTCCAGCAGATAATCTTCATCCCAAATGCTGTACTCATGATTCGAGCAACAGAGCTGCCTAGCCGTCCAAGGCCGACAATACCAAGAGTTTTCCCAGTGACTCCAGTGACGAGGCTGGTTTGCCATTCCCCAGCCTTGACAGCAGCATCATTATGCGGAATGTCACGGCAAGCAGCGAGAATCAGGGTGATGACATGTTCCAGGGTAGAAACAGTGGCCATTTTAGCATCGCTGCCCGTGATTGGGATACCTCGCGACCGGCAAGCATCTGTGTCAATTGCCTTATTATGACGACCGCCGCTGAGAAGCAGTTTGAGTCGAGGAAGACGCTCAATCAACTCTTTAGGGAATGGTGTTCTCTCTCTCATCGTGGCTAGGCACGGGGCATCAGTAAGAGTAGTCGCGGAAAAGAGATGGGGTAATTTTACCAATGACCTCGAATGGCTCCAATCTTTGAACCAACTCATCTTTCTCAGCCTGCGGTGTGTCTGGGTGATTATACAGTCGCAATGTTGCTGGAAAATACTGGATGGCAAATTGCGAGACGTCCAATTTGGCAAAGTGCGAAGGTGCAAGACCGTGATAGTCGTCGAGCACAGCTACGTGCGTGACCATCTTAGCTTAGCGATGGCAGTTAATTGGCAGAGAGACTGAAAAGGTTGGTCGGAGAAGAAAATCGAATAGATCAGAATAGAAAAGAAAACCCGAGTTGCGGTAGTCAAACTGACAGAGCTGCGTCACTACCTACGTTACTTCAGGCAGCCATGAGAAAGAGAAACAAAAGCGATCCCACTTGGTGGTCAGGCATGTAGCGAGCGGTACAAGCAACACTGTAATTTTTGTTTCGGATGACATCGATGAAAGGCGGTGATGGATGTCTCTTTTTGGCAGAGATCAACAAGCTGAAAGCAAGGGTCGGAGACCTGAAGATGACGCGCCAGGCTCCAACAAGCAATTGTCCCTAACCAAAAGCAATACATTGCATGAAATAACATGTATGTTTCATGTAATGTCTAGGGGATAGGCATTAGTTAAGACATGGAATGCAAGATGTCCCGTCCTGCCTCGGAGATAATCTTCCACGACCAGCCCCAGCCTGGCTCTTATCGACAAACGGCAAAGATCGAAAAGACCCGACCCGTGTTTGTGATAGAATGCATACATGGCACGGCACGGGAAATAGCTCCTCCCACCGTTCGTTAGTGGAGGACGGCCATTAAGCAAGCTAGCAAGTACCGAGAATAACTAGCCCCCACCAACACTAATCTTTAGACTATAGCCTATCGTAACTAGGTACATAAACACATGCACTAATGAGTCCTGTACACGGGAATCACCAGCCAGCCTGAGAGAGAAGATCTACAGCAAGTATGTCTTACTTGCGTTGTCTTGTTGCATCAAATCGCGCAATAATGTATTGCCTTTGACGCATATCAGAAGGGCCTTTTGTTGTGGCGGTCACTGATTGGACCAATCCGGAGTGGCGGTCTACCCAACACAATCATGGCCGTGCTGACGACATCGGGTACCATGTTTGATTTGGGATATCCAAGTCTCACTGCGCCACTGAAGTACATATTCGATAGTATTTGGCATGAAAAAGCCAGATTCAAACCTGCGGGTGAGCAAGTGCTCATGTCCCGTCCCGATTCAAGTATCGACATGGAAGCGTTGGAGGCGTTTCCTAAAATCACACCCAACGGAGCGTAGTTGAAGGACTTGAGAGGTAACTAGATACTAGATTCTCTGGTAAGGAACATGTAACTAATCTGTGAAGCTAATTGTTTTTCCTCGAGACAAAGAGAGTGTCTTGTTTACATTCCTGCCATACCAATTCAATTACCTAAACACATTTGCTCTCTTGATATTTAGTTTTATCTCTGTAGGAATATCCGATAAGGTTATCTTTGTCGTAATCATTAGTACTTAGTTCTGGGGTCACTCTAGGTGGGAACCAATAAAGTTCAAAATTGGGAGGCCTAGAGAGAGCATGGAAGGGAAAGCTGGCTATTGGCTACTTCTCTTTCTGATGGTAAAGCCGGGTGAAAAGAGAGATTCACCTTGGGCCGCCCAGACATGACGCACTACATCTGCACCTCTGATTTCCGTAGCGAAGGTCAGTACTACGTGGTTCAGACGTCTATACCCCCTTGTGTTATTATGATTATCTCAAGCCTCTGAGATCCATATCTCCTGTAGCAACGAAGATTGGAACCATTTCAAATTAGATTATACTGAGGGCATATCCTTGTTTATTTATATTACATTATTACATAACCTTATCTACATATATAGAGATATATATACTGGCTCCCAGAACACAAATTACACCAAACATCAGACTGGATATCTCTTTTAACCACTCGCCATGGACCACTACCGAGCCCATTCTCTCTTCCAGCCTTCAAATCTGAATGCCGCAATCGGCGCAAAGGGCCATGAGGGATCGAGCAAGGGGCCGCCACATTTGTTCGGCGCCATGCTTGGGATTCCGCACATACAGATGGCCCGAACCGTAGCTGTGCTTGGCTTTGACTTCGTCTTCGTGGACACTCTGCATGTGTAAGTTCTGCCCAAGTTGTGCGAGTGGAGGCACTTGATTCGACATATCTAACACATCTTTCTGATTGTCTGTCTCGCAGTGCAACCAATCCAGAGAATCTGGTTTCCATCATACAAACGATCAACTTTGCCAGCGAGGGCAAGACTTGCGCACTAGTTCGCATTCCCAGCCCTGAATCGGATTTGCTAGCCTATGCTTTAGATGCGGGTAAGTACTATCGCCGCAGTCTGACCATTAGACTAGACACCCGATCTGACTGATTTCACTAGGTGCGGCCGGCATAGTCTTTCCACAAATCGATACACCTGACCAGGCAGCGTTGGCTGTCAACAAGGTGCGACACGCCTACAGCGGCGGAAGCAGATCGGTCTCGCCAATTGCCTTGCTTGACGGGATAACAAACATTGCGCCCGATGGCTGGACGTCGGAGACAATTGCTGACAGAAACATCGCCGTTATCTGCCAGATTGAGAGCACGGTAAGAGATACCGTTTCACTACAGTTAATTACGAAATGACTAACCAAACCAAATCAAAAGGTTGCAGTAGACAATCTTGATGCCATCGCTAGAGTTCCCGGTGTGAACGCACTCATGCTCGGAGTTTCGGACCTCAAGGTCACACTTGGTCTCCCGGTTCGCAATCCTGGTGGGCGAGTGGATGAGTCCAAGTTTTATGAGGCTGTCTCCAAGTTGATCGCGACTTCCGAGAAGACTGGAATTCAGCTTATGATTCCTGCCTTTAGGATGAAGCCCGAGGATGTTGGCTGGCTTAAGAAGTTCAAGCTGGTGATGACTAGTCTGGATATTCTGTCTGTGCTGAAGAGTCATCAGAAGGACCTCGCTGAAGTGAAGGAGGCTCTGGCGGTGCCGAAGGGGACATCCAACGGCAAATCCAACGGGCTAGCCAACGGGTTAACCAATGGGATGACCACTGGGATGACCACTGGGATGATCACTGGGATGACCACTGGGATGACCAATGGGATCACTAAGCAGATAATGAACGGGCATTAAAGCGGATTCCACAAGAACCTGTCATATAGGTCATTACTGTATTGAATGCGATTAAATTGGGGAGCAAAGCTGTCTGTTACTAGTGAGTACCTACATCATAAACACGTGCATTGATCTTCCCCACCGTGATGCTTGAATAATGGACGGACGGAGACATGGGGCCGGCACGACAAGGAGCAATCCAGGCTACAAGATCCAAGCCCTAGCCAAGGCCCTGAAACCGGAATTGGGATGTGAGCTAAGGAGCCGAATACTACAGGACCGACCCGTCCTTAGTGTCACGATCCGCAATTGATGTCTCTTGTCCCACTAGCCCCGCATGCAAGGAGATCCTTTATTAGTATAGCTTGAGCGCCTCTATCACATACTTACATATGTGTGATTATCCCATAATGGAAATGAATAACATGTGAGTTCTCCCATTCTTGTGTCACTGACGGGCGTCTCGTATTCGCATTCGCTGGTTATGTTAGGTAGGAAAAACCACAATTTATCTGCTCCTAGGTAACATCTAAAACAATGAATGCCCAATGGTGTTTGAAAGATAAAGATGTTCCAGCGCCGAAGACGCTTCATGCGTCATATCGTGGAGGTCTGGTCAAGAATAAATCGCCCCATCAACCTTGTGAAATACATCCTAGTCCCAGCCGTGACGGGGAGCCGGGAAGTCGGGGAGTCGGGGATCTAAGACCTAGCCAGATCTTTTCCTTGATAGGTAAGGTGGCCTGTCATTGTGTCACTGGTTTAAGACGCAGGAGGGTATAAGAACGCCACTAAGGCATGCAAATAAGCTGCAGGCGGCTGGTCAATTGGGCTAGGGGCTGGTTAAAGCACGGGCCCCGAAATGGAAATCTGTATACGTATTCTCCCGCTACGTAGGTGAGAGATGAGTGCACTTATGCGGCTGTATCTCACAAGCCGCCCTGTCCATATGCTGTTGAGGCGGTGTGTCTGGGAAATCTATCGCCCTGATCGTTGGCAACATGGACCAGGCATGGTACATATGGCCGAGTGTGCAATTGGCGAGCTGAATTTTGCAGCTACAAGTAGTCTACACCCGCTGACAACGAGTAACTGCGTACACGTAGTCCGGATCCCTTAGGCGCGGCCATAACGCTTCCGGTATCACTCCAAATAAAATACTCTGTTGTCGCTAAGGCTATTTAATATTTCAGTCAGGCCTGGTCTCTTGTATCCTCTTTCTTTCTTTATTTTTACTATCGCCAGACTCTGATGACTCAATCCATTCAAGACGGTCCCCCCGTATCTGAGGCCTTGGCTCAGCCGCCATCCGATGCCATGCAAAACCTCAAGCAAAATGATCCCCAAGACCAAGAATTGGTTGCGCTCTTCGCCGCAACAGATACTCCTGCAGTTTCTGACGCCCTTGACAAGCTGGGTATACCAGGGCAGGCTTTGAACATTATGCCCTTATCCAACTACAAAAAGGTCACTGTTGGGCCGGCCTTTACCGTACGCTATGTGCCAGCTTCAAGCACAGGTCCGCCCAAAGGTGTTGGGGATTGGATTGATAATGTCGCTGCAGGCGATGTTATAGTTATCGACAATGGCGGTCGCACAGACTGTACAGTCTGGGGTGATATCATGACACAGTATGCCGGTATACGAGGGATAGCTGGCACTGTTATTGACGGCGTGTGCCGGGACGTGAATCGCGCCATAGCCGATAGCTACCCCATGTTTACCGCCGGACGCTGGATGAGAACCGCCAAGGATAGGATGGAGGTAGCAGGTGTCAACGAGCCGGTTGGGATTGGCCGGGTACATGTTAATCCTCGAGATATCGTTGTCGCAGACGCCAACGGTGTCGTTATTGTCCCGCGAACTCGGGCTCGCGAGGTGGCAGAGATTGCAGCCTGGATTGATAAAAGCGAAGAGCGCATTAGGGAAATGATTGCTAGCGGGTCTACACTTGGTAGAGCTCGCGCAGAGCTTGGTTATCATAAACTGCAAAGCAAGAAATAAGGAGCATGACGCAAGAGAAAGTAGTTGAATATGATAGCATTACGACGCTGTACGTACATTAGATCTGGTTTCATATCAATGTTACACTAAAGCGCTTCAAGTATCTCATACTATCTCAGGCATTTGTAGCTTTTCTTGCCACGAACAGCTTCTCTTAATGTCCTAGGGACTGCACAGAGCAAGGACCAGTGAGAAAATGCTATGGCTTCTGGGTACAGCGTTGAAGTTGCTTTTATTCTAGAAGCAAGACGCTGCCGGCCGGCTGCGCGGTCGGCGAACGAGAAGATCCCACGACTGGTTCCTAGATGAGATGAACAAATGAACACCGATATGACATCTGTCAGCTATCATTTACAACACTACTGAGTTATACTGAAGCTGCAACTTATATTTAATAGCTCCTAGGCAAGGACAGAACCTTTTCGCTAATAAAGTTCAAAATCATCTCCCTGCTAACAGGTGCAATTCTCGGGATTAGGGCCTCGCGGAACCACCTTTCGACATCATATTCCATTGCATACCCCATACCACCGTGTGTTAGAACCGCTCTCTCGCAAGCAGTAAAAGCCGCTTCAGCAGCTAGATACTTGGCGCTGTTTGCCGCGGCGCCAATTTCGTCTTGCTTAACAGATTCTGTTTGGCTTGTATCGTAAAGCCGAGCCGCATGGTAAGTTATTAGCTTTGCAGCTTCAAGCTTCATATATGCGTCGGCTAGGGGGTGCGCAATTCCTTGATACGCACCAATAGGACTTTTAAAGACAACTCTCTCGCGTGCATACTCGGTAGCTCTCTTAAGGGCTGCATAACCAAGGCCAAGGGCTTCGCCGGCTAAAAGGCAACGCTCGGCATTCATGCCATGAAGAATCATCTTGAATCCCTTGCCCTCTTCCCCAATAAGTGAACTTTTAGGGATTTGATAGTTATCAAAGAAGACTTCATTTGCATCGACGGCGCGACTACCCATCTTCTTAATCTTGCGTAGGTCAAGGCGGCCTGGCTGGTTCCGATCTAGATCGATGTAGAATAAGGATAGACCTTCGCTAGGCTTCTTGACTTCCTCCAATGGTGTAGTTCGGGCCAATAAGATCATCTTGGAGGCCACCTGTGCGCAGGTAATCCAGATCTTCTGACCTGATACGCTGTAGCCATCTGATGTCTTCTTAGCTGTGGTTGATAGGCCCAGTGTATTCAGACCAGTATTAGGTTCTGTGACACCGAAGCAAACACGCAAGCCTCCAGCGACAATTTGAGGCACCGTCTTCAGTTGCTCCTCTGAACCAAATTTAGCGAGCGGTTGAGTGGCATAAACATTGGCATGGATAGATTGTGCGCCAGCCATACCCGCTCCTGACTCGGCGATAGTCTGCATCATTAGAGTAGCCTCAGAGATGCCTAGGCCCGAGCCCCCCAGACTCTCAGGAAGTGCCACGCCTAGCCAGCCGCCTTTTGCAAGTGCTGCATGGAAATCCTTAGGGTCTGTCCCGTTCTGATCCGATTCCTGCCAGTAGGTATTGGGGAATTCCGAACAGACTTGGCTCACGGCGTCTCTCACCATGAGCTGATTATCGGTGAAGCCAGCCATCCCCATAAGTCGTGTTGATCGCGTAGTTGAAAAGGCATGATGATGTTGATTTACGCCGAGGGAGCGTCCTGGGATTGCAATCACAGGACGCTTCAAATACTTGGCACAATTCAAAGCTGATCGTGACATGTTGTAGTAGATTTGTATAAGTATAATCAAGTTTAAATCTTGGAAGAGCCGTTTACAGTCGTGATACTATGCATGGATGGCTAGTGATGGCTCATATATACTAGTGGCAATGAGAAGATTTACCAATAAAATTTCCCTAAGTAGCCTGTCAGTGATACATCTGTCCACGGTCGTGGCTTGGCTGTACGTGGTCATATCAAATCGATGACCAGCATCGGACGGACTGCCGGCCCGGGTATCAAGTCACCGACTTTTCGGCTACTTTGATCGATCGCCGAGTTAACCCATGTGCGACCATCTGAGGTGGAACTGAACCCGTATCTTCTACCAATAAGATCAAGACCTCGGTTGTATGACGGAGATGGCTGCTCAATTCTCGGCTACTTTTGCTCGACCGCCGCATATCTGCCCCTCACGGCTCAGCAGCCCTCTTTCCTATTCGTCACGAACCCTATGTCGACTGCCAGATCCCAAAGTGGACCTTCGAGGTGTCTCCGTGTGGGTTAACCAATCAGATACCTAGTATCAAGGGTACTTTCTCTAACATGAAGATGACAAGTAAATATAGGTGTTTCTGATACTGCAGCTTGCAGATCAGAACCTCTAGCCTCACTGTCCTGTGTCCTTAAGGCTGGTACTTGTGGCGTAATGACGGCAGCCAATCAATACGGGTCAAGCCCTACAGAAATATATGAAAGGTGTCTGGGATCCTAAGGGATTTGGTCCAACAGCAGGCTTGCCAATAGCGACTCACGTTAGTCCATCACTCACTGCGGTCTGTGGCTTGCCTAGGCGTTGCACTATCTATCCAGGAGGATATTTGTAACTTGTACTTCTGTGGTGCCTTGAAGAGCAGAGTTGAGCCACCGCGGGGGAAAAGATTCATATAGGCAACATTTAGAAGACAAATTTGATGTTAGCTCGATAGCCAAGATGCAATTTTAAGCAATATAAAAAGCATCTGCTTTGTGATTTTGAGGCTACTCCTACTTCTGTAATGCGGCAAGCTGTCTGGCACTTTTTCTAAGGCTATCCGTTATTGCTGTAGCCCCGGTGTCTCCTTTACAGACTTAAGAATAAACAGGCTCGAATTGTTGACTCGCACACAACTTGTCCAGTGACAGATCCAGGTACACGATGAACACCATTCAAGTCCTCACCTGCGCTAACGCCCTATCTAATATGGTGGTTCGATCGAGTCAATACGAATCCCTACCCTGTAAGCCGCTACTGTGCCAGATGAACTTTACCCACGGAGAAATAAAGTTAATCACTAAAACAGTGAAATATCGCTACTATTTTAACTCATACGAAAATTTAATAGCAATAAATATCCGTCTAAGAAGATCATCTATGAGTACTGTGGCGTAGCCCGATTTGAGGAGTTCCGGCGTCAGGAGCTAGACATATGAATCCGGATGACCATGATGGGGTATGAGCCCAAGCACCTCACTTCGGAAACGATCGTCTCTGGGTCAGAATGTTTCATATCTGTACTGATATCTAGAGTATCTGGATTACCCAGGCCTCAGTCTCGTCTTGAGAGATGATGGCGCTGCCGGCGGTGGAAATGTCCGAGAACTGCCCCTTGTTCCGCCAAAAGCAACGTAATATGCGCCGGCGACGGCAAAATGTACATTGACCATATGGATGGATTTATAGTATTTACGTTCATGTTCAGGCCAGAACCTCGCTTTAACCCTGAATTGTATCAAAGATCCTGCAGCATGAATGCATCTTGGTATTAGAACTAAACGAGCTATACATATATATGCATTTCGGCTCAAAGAGTTGCATGTTAGTGAAATAGCCCTCCTGGAAACGGCGGGAGCCGCCCAACGTACTCACATTGTATCCTAGGCAACAGCAAAGGTAATGAGTATGTGTTTTTATTGGTGTTCTTTGTGCGCTGGAGGCTGAAGCCTCTTTAAACTACCCACAACCTTATTCCCGTACTCACATTGTATCGTCAGTCAGCTCAGATCCGAACTTTGGGGGTCCGGCTTCCGGAGTCATTACAACCAGTAACATGGTTTCTTTCCGTAGCTCTCGTGATCCCGTCCTCTACGTTGATCGAGATTACCTCAATGCCGCTCTGACTTCAAATCACCTTTCGAGTTTCGGCTCAATCGATAGCTGAATCTGTAAAACGTTTATTAGCCGGCGTGAAATTCAGTGCAGCACTCCTTTGACATCTGGAAGTGCTTGCTACACTCTCAAAATATTAGTCATCCCTCAAATTCTTATCCAGTTAATTAGTAACTATACCTCACTACATGAGAGCAGAGTAGTGCCATCTAACATTCCCGCATCTTGCTTAGTTGATCATCTCAGCGGCGGGCTAGACCTTTACTGCAAGAATGGAAGCCCAATAATAACCTGCTATAGGCATCCAACTAAAATGCCCGACTACGCGAAAGCGAGATCTCCCAAGAGACTCACAGACCAGTATACCGAGACTGGAGATCCATAGTGCTGGGGTACTGATGATGGCAAAGAGAAATCCGTTCCATAAGTAAGATGCAGGTTGTCAAAAAGGTCGAGCGTGAACCCCTTGCTGCAAATCTACAAGCCGCTCAAGGCACTGAGCAGACGAATTTATCCAGGGTACAGCTTTAGTTGTAAGCATGTGATGCATTCAAGGAGGCTATAAATGTGATACAGAAATTCCCATTCAGGCAAAGAAGATGTACTGAAATCGACGCTGCATTCTTGGAATCTTGTCTCTCTACTAGGTGTCCTGGGATCTTGACATAAACGGGCAACATGAAGACCCCAAACAATTCCGGCAATGCGGGATAGGAAAAGATCATAGGGAAGAAATCTGAGAAATGATATGTAATGCTTTTATGATCAAGCTAATCTGAGAGCTTAGCGCGTTACTGGCTGCTCAGTGGAGAGGTAGGCAGTCTTTCGAAAGGTATAAAATCGGGGTTAGATGCTTTAGCTTGCTGAATGTGTCAATGGCAGAAACATTGCCACGGTGCATTATCGTATCAAGTGTCAGAAAGAACCGATGCTGAAGACATTGGCTGACTCGAGAGCTCCTACATCCCCTGGAGACCAGCCAAAGTTGCCCCAGCGAAGCTCGTCTGAGCCGTGCTTCAAGGTCGAATTACCAGTATTGTCTTGGCAGGCTAGATTTATACTGCTAGTCACCACACAGAAGATACTGTACCCAGTTTCATGTACTAATACAAGCTCTCAGACACGGATCTCCATCATAATTAACAAATCTGAGCATGCTGGGCTTGCAATCTTGATTTCAGCTGCAATCTCCATTTTACTCCTCAGTAGGGAAGCTATCAGCACCCTGACCAGGCCGATATCTCTCGATCATATACACAGGGATCGAGGTGACACTTATCCTTGGGGAAACACCACAGAGTCGCAAGACCAGAACCAGGGACCTCACGATCCTGCCTACGGTGTTCATCTATTGAACGGAACCCACTATGACAACGTTAGTCAGGTTGAGTGGCGTGAGCGGAGTCAATGCTATTACAGTTGCCATCCAGAGATGGCACGAACCTTGCATTGAACGACTTGTATGTTAATGAGCCTAACCTAGTGCTTTCACGGAAGCAGTCTATCTTAACAAAGCAAGCTGTCTCATCTGCCTGATGGCTTTTGAGGGTGTGAGAAGCCGGGCTACCTCCTTACCCGAGGTAGTAGATAGCGTACAGAGCGAGAAGTTTGGATGTGCAACGTATGCCTTGGTAATACGGGCATATGGCCACGCCGCATCAACCTAGACAAATTGTATAGCTGCACTGCAACTCAATATTTCTTATCAAGTTTCGTTTCTGGAGATTTATTCATTATGCAGACTGTATCTGCTACTGGGAGGACTTTGAGGATGTTCTCATGTACTATCAACGAAGTAAACAGAAACCGTCATATTTACCGACCAGACAACGCTGGGATAACCTCAGTACTAAACCATTTCTCTCCCACTCAGTAATATACACATATAATCTGCCCTTCACTCCCGCAACCTCACAAATCTGCCCTGTCCCAAAGGCGAAAGGCTCTGATTCAACCAGCCTGCTACCATTTCCGCGTCCAGGAGCTGCTCCTTTAGCTCAGACACTGCAGCGTCGACATCACGTAGTTCAAAGACTCTCCCTTCCATCCGCGCTGCTAACCGCGCCCACCAGCCAAGGACCATAGTGTTATAATTCTCGACTGCGAGTCGAATTTCGTGTCTGAGGAGATCGAGGTATTCTGAGCGGTAATCGATCTGGAGGAAGCTTTGCGAAATCGTATATGGGAGTTTCGAAGGGCCCTGGAGTCGGTAGAGCTCTGCGACGAAAAGGTTCCACTGGCTTTTATCGTTGGACTCGCAAATGAGGACGGCGAAGATGTGGTCGCAACCTGCTATGAGGCAGTTATTGGGGATATATGTCCCTGTTCATCAATTAAAAATCTTGTTTTGGAGTGGAAGATGAGGTAGACTTGCGGTGGGAGTTATATCCGGCGTGCAATAGTTGAGGTTCTGGGTGGAAGAAGAACGGGGGAGCGACATTTTCGTCCCTGTCATTGCTCTGAAGCATCATATTGATCACTGCAAATGGCTTCTACGGAAGACACAGAAGCTTATACGCGTGTTGTAAGTTGCAAAGCTGCACTCGAACTTCAAAAGGCAGCTGTAGATCTGTCCTCGGTGGTTGCTCCGAATGCGCCGGGACTCCTGGTTCCGATGGTCCCTAATCATGGAGAACGTTGAGTTCCGCCGGTCTGATTGAGGACGCTACCCCACGACATGGTACGACAAAGATCGATTCCCTACTGGCTATGGCTTCGTTCTCTCCGACTTGCCCCGCATTCTAAGGCTGAATAGGGGGCCAGACAGATTTGGTGCGATGTCAACCTTCGATGGGTGTGAATACAAGTCGCGGCTGCAGTCATCAGAATCCGGTGATCAAAAACCAAATTTATGCGTAACTGACTGATTTCAGCATGTCAGATATCTATATGCATCTTGACCTTTCGGTTCTGTCTGCGTGCTACCATGGTCCTCGGATGCGCGCCGAAAAAGAGAGCCATGAGCCAGACTCTCTCGTGTCTGGAACTGACGTCTAGATCGGTGAATGGAATACAACCTTGAAGCTTAAGATATCCGAGAATTTTGTCGTGCATTTTGTATGTAAACTAATGCAGATGAATGCCATAAGTTGTGGCTGAAGTTTTCTAATCCGGCTCTAATGACGCGATTTGACGCGCTGGTTGGTGGTCGAAGGTGACACAGGAGCGGAAACATAAAGATCACCACATAAGAAGGACACCACTTACAGCAAGTGGGTGAAAACGTGCCGGTGGAATACAGAGTAGAGAGTGTTAAAATTAGCATATCTCTTCTACCAGTCTCCTCATTCTTATCACAGTTTAATCTGGCGTCAAGGAAGTTACCGTAGTGGTCAATGCTATAGGATAACTGCGGCCTATAAGGTTAAGCTTTAGGCTGTAAATATAGATAATAAATAATAATATAATATTTTTTTTTCCCTAATATAAGCTTTTACCTATATACTTTTATAATAACTAATAAATCTTATTATAAGCCTTAAGGTATTATAAAGGAAAAAGACTAAAAGGTATATAAAGGAATATAACCTGTTAAGGCTTGAATAAAATAGCCGATAAATTCA